GGTCCGACGCAGTGATAAAGAAAATGTTTGTGCTGAGTCTGAATACCTGTACGGGCCTACTACTCATAATTCTGTTAAATAAAACGAGTTATGAGTAAAGAAATGGCCAAAAGTTGTTGATTTCAGTTGTGATCAGACAAAGGATGGATAAATCCAAAGCATGAAAATAAAAGTAAAGCAGTTTTATTTTGAAATTAAAAGATTCCGAACCAATTTCGACATTCCACAAACAAATTCGTGCAGGATTGGTGGAGATTTTAATGTACCGGTAAATCATGACAAAATACAATCAAGATTTTAACCTTTAAATCGTGCATTAGCATGAAATTGTACTGCAGATGCTCCACAGTCACGTACACCTACAGCTGCAAACAAATGAGATAAGTGCAATATTGAAACCTCCGTAAGTGGCCATTCAACTACATGATAAAAAAGCCCTCGAGAGGAGTTGCGAGGCTGTTTGGCACACTATGAAAGACTAACAATGGAGATTCGTTTACACTTACACACACACTAGAAGGGGTATCAGCAGAATCCATTCTTGTCTTGACATTCTTACAGAGTGAGAGCATGTATTAGTGTGTCAGCGTATGAGTTATTATCAAGTTGTGTGAACACTCAGGGCTAAAATGTACCTCTGGCTACTGCTCGCTGAGTGACTGACACTCTCAGCCTCTAGGATCTGATGACAGCACTAAGCAAAAGTACCTTCAAATGCAGAAATACCTGCGTAGGCTCACATAAAGTGAGCCCATGAATAAACAGAGAGTTCAAAAAGTTTGAACTCCAGCTGGAATCGCAGAGCTCTGCCCTGTTTCAGGCCCGTCACTGCTGATCAAAATCAACTGAAAATCAAAAAAAGCAAACCAAGATCAAAATAATTCAGCACCTGGAAAAAGACAAGTTATGTTCTGTTTATAACTTATGCTTTTAGTTCATTGTTTTCATTTTTCCCCCTATTCATTCACTGTTCAAACAGTTAAAGACAGAACTGCACACAGAAACATGTGTAAACATCTGCGGTATCCGCAGCTTGTTTTTTATTTTTATAATTAAATAATAATTTAAGACTGAAACCTTTCAGTTAATGAATTCTTAATGTGCACTCTGATGTTTATGATCATAAAAGGGGAATAAACAACGCAGGTTTTCCACAAAGGAAATCCGGGAGCGTGTTTTATCATTTATGCTTTAAAAATAAATGACACCGTCAACTGTCAGATTAGCTGCATGTTGATCTTCTCAGATGACTAACTGATTGATTCACTACTCCTTTCAGCTCTTTCTACTTTAAACACATACACACACACAGACACACGACATGTACAATGTCCAGTCAAAGCCTCACGCTGCCGTCATCGTGGCACTAAGCCATCTTCCTACAAGTCTACTTATACACAGACAGCAGCTCCAGCTGGCCTGCATATTATCAGCAGCAGCCCTTGTCCCGGATACGGAGTCATTTATTGCATTATCACAAAACACACACATTCATAAAATGTTATGTGCTCACAGGATGACTGTGGGCTTCAACAGAAGGCGCTCAGAGATCACGATTCATTTCCACTACTTCAAGTAGGCCCCTGGTAGGTTCGTAACAACATCACTTTGCATCCTGCGCTGCTCTATTCCTGGGTGAGAGGGTTACTGAGGGTGAAAGAGAGAGTCTACCTCTAAGAATAACCAACACCATCCGGTCCCAATTCTAGACGAGCTATCTATTACAGCATATTAGGATGTATAGGTTATGCTGCTTGTGTGGGTGCTGACTCTCCCATTTATACCTTTGAGGACTCCTAGAAATGCACCGCTTTCCATTAATCTGATCATATCAGTTCACACAACTTTGCAAAGCTTCAGACCGCAATCTGACCAGGTCAGACTAACGTAGCTGCACGTGTCCGACCTGCAAGTAAACTGTGGCTCTCTCTGTGTCTGAATGAAGCCACGAGGAACACGAGGAGCGACCTACTCAATTAATACAGTGCTATAATCTGCTATAATTCTAATTGTGACACACAGAGATGGGCGAGAGTCTGGGTGATGAGAGAGAGACCACAGAGCAGAGAAGGATCTAACCTACGATAATATGCAGTTACTGAATAGAAATCATGATTCTATAGGTTTTAGAGTTGTTTCTTATGTGCATAACAGGGAATAGCAACAAGAGGCTTAGCTGTTTCACATTTACTATAAATGTAATTCGGGGGGCAATAAAGTGCATATATATGATTTTCCAGATGTTAGAAATCAGGAAGAATAATAAACTGATCTCCAATGAAAACAATGTTCATTTAATAAACTGTTGAACTTTGCTACTTTGTGTTTTTGTCCCCTCCATTTTTTGATATCATAGGAAAAGGACGGTAGTTCCTTCAATCAATCACAGCAATGACAATATGAGTTCTTATTTCTTTGCACTTGCAACGCATGACGTCAGTGCCAATGTCGTGTAATTCCACACTGATGTGTGATCGCGCAACACTCACAGGAGGGAGTGTGCATAAACCCTGATGTCCAGAGTGGCAGTAATATTACCGTCGACAGGCTTGGGTTTGACATTCCCGGTGGTTTGATTTTCCCAGGCAGAAAACCTCAATATTTTAATTTAATCCCCAGAGCATTTATTTAGCCACTCCGTAATCCACAGGTCCAGTGCTTAGTCTGATAATTACCCTTATTGGACACCCATAATGATTAGTTTTTGGTTTCACCCAAAGCAGTGCAGGCAGTTTCATAGGGCGGTCGCAGCGCTTTGCGGAGTGGAAAACCAATCATGCGTGCTATAGCTCAGGTCATAAAAGAGGAGAAAGAGGTATGATTATTACTGCGAATGGCAGGCGACAATCCCCGGAGGGAAAAAAAAAAAAAGTGCTGCAAACTCTTTGTGCAACTTTCACTTCTTGGCATTCATTGTAAAGATCGCAGAACAGGTGCTAGTAGTGCTGACACTTCTGCTGTGTCAACATTAACAACTATCATTGTGCTGAGCAGTGGTGTCAAAGAGGGCATCTGCTGTGAAATATCCCCCCCCCTGCAAGAGCCAACTGAACCAAACCAAACTTTGAGCGCATTTTCCGGGGAATGGACGCGCCAGAGATCAGACATTAATCAGGGGAAATTTAGACATCTTACTCCTCACTTCGCTGTTACTCTCATTTGATTTTCCCCTTTACATTTCCACCCCAACATTTCCAAACTGACAGCATAAACTGCCAACATTCCCTCCACATGCGGTTTAATAATCCCACCCAGAAGTACCAAAATAAGCCCTTTTTGCGCATCTACCACTGTGACAAGCTTCCCTGCAAGTGCCTGTCCGAGCTGGTAGCTCAGCTGGTATGTTCTACAGCTGGCTGGGAGGACGAGCCTTACTGGAAATTCATCAGGGATTTTTTTTTTTTGTCTCCTTCATGTCTCAAACAGGTCAAGGCAGGTCCCCTCCATCTCCTCCCTTCCCCTCGGTGCTCTTTATGAGCCCCACCTGGCAGATTAGTATTCCACCACCACAAGTACCTTTTCTGCTGTTTACACATGCGCACACATTCATCTGTCACCGTACTGGTGAAGGAATACAGGACACACACTGTTCAGACTACGCCCCTACCACCACCAGCACCACATTGTTTTCACACGTGTAGGCCGATACTCAAACAGAATAAGGATGTATTGTCATGTTAGTACCTTTAACAAAACATCCGAGGGCAGCAGGACATTGCAGTTGTTTTAGTTGTCCTTTAACGTGGCAATTTCAGTTATATTAGTTGATGGAAATGCTCGATTTTGCATTTGCATTCCAGTCTAAGAAAGGCCCAGACAATTGGGTAAAAACTGTTATCAGTCAGTGTTAGTCTTCTTGAGTAACACTAGATAGTTTTGCCAAAAAACAGTCATGTATATATTCGTATTTTTATGTTTCCCTGAGACAAAAAGAGAAAAGACACTCAGATTGGACCAGAATTTCAAGAAAATGTCTATAATTTAAATAGGTTATATGTTTCTTATAGGCTAGATTGTCCACTGTTTAAACAGCTGTGAAATGGATCAATTAACTCTATTCTAACAAGGGAGTTTAAACTTTCCTTACCAACTTGAAAATAAGCTCATTCAGTAGGTGGTCTGTGTGCACCATAGGCTGGTCTATATGTGGCCCAAGGATGGCTTTGAGCCCAGTTTGTGGTTTTTTAGTATGTAGCTTACAACTGAGCGTAGGCAATATATATATATATTGTTTTCATGGCACTCAACAATGACATATCATCATATTGTTCAGTATAAAAACCTTCCGATATGGCAGCAGAGTCCAGACCATCGTACATTCACAGCACTGTGCAGCAGAGTACTCACAGCTGAGCAGACAGCCATGCAAAGTTAAGACATGTTTTCGGCTATGTATTTCACAATTAGTTTGTGTAATGCATTGCTTCAAAGATAATAAACAATGACCACATCACATCCCCTTGTCAACACAACTCCAACATGGGGCAGTGTTTATATCACAATTATTTACTCCCTACACTCTGAAAAGTCTTGAGTACATGCAACACACACACACACACACACACACACACACACACACACAAAATGTCAAGAACACGTCCAAGCAGCCTCCACACTTCTACTCCATGTTCCTACAGCCCGGGCAGTCAGTCTGAAAGGACTGACGTTACTATGTGCGTAAAGCAGTAAAAAAACGTATCGAGTGCAGAAGCAGATAAATGCAACCGCATAACAAAAATGCCAAGTGTTACCAAAAGAAGATATGAACGGTTTATGTGCGGCAACATTTTAACCACCTGAGGTTTCCCTGCAGAGCTGGATGCTTCAATTTGGCTTAAGAACGACGACGAGAAGGAGGAGGAGGAGGTGGAGGGCTGAAAAACTTGCCGCAGTTCAGACTTCTGCAGTCCGGACTCCTCGAGTCTCAACAAGCCGCTGTGTGAATCCCCAAATATACACTCCGCTTCTTCCTCAAACACAGAATAAAGACTCAAATTTACCTCAGCAGTTCCACCGCCGGGTCCGGAAAACGCAACGATAAATCCACAACTTCACGCGGGCTGAGCTCGTGCGGACGGTAGGGCTCGCTGCAGCCGACACGGCCGGGACAAGTTCATCCGCATATTCTCATTCAAGACCAGAGAGTTGGAGGCGATAGGGGGGGAACCGCTTTCTGCTTTCCCCCTTTCCCTCAGTCGCTTTCGCTGGTCCTTTCCTCTCGGATATTCCCCTCCCTGGTCCTTTTGAGATCAAACCATCACATTCCACCGCGTCCTTAACAATGAAAAAAGGTGGGTTTTCCTTTTCTGTTGCCGGAGGACCCACCCCTCGGGATGACTCTGCCCGGTCTGACCGCAAAGAGAACGCCCTTCCCGGCGTCAAGGTCCCGCCTCTCTCTCTCTCTCTCCCACAGAACATACACAAGCCAGGCCGGTGAGGAGGAATGAATCCGAGCTGGATCCTGCATAGATGCAGGCTACTGCTTGTGTCTGAGCAAACGTATCATAAAAACCAGTTGTCTGTGAACGCTGCATGAACTATTGTTTTATGGCATTTATACCATTTGCAATAGAAGTGACAGAAAAGTCACGGGCTCAGCAGCACCTGTAGCATCCCACAACACTTTCAAAGATCATATCCATATAATTAGGATCCCCCCAAGAAAGTACTGATTACCACAAAAAATATTGGGGCTATAATATAGATGAAATGTCCAAACAGTATAAGCTTGTTGGGTTCTATCAAATGTCTCTAAATATGTATGGACTAACCATTATACAAAACCAGTCAAGACCACAGTCTTCCCTTACGGGAATAATTAGTATGAGTTCACCTCTCTATTCCCTCTCTTTCAGCTCTCAGAATGTGGTTGTTTAATACGCTGGTGCCACTTGAATGAATACTATAGCATTGCTGTTTGTTGTGCTTTCTTTTTTCCCCATGTGTAACTGTTTGCCAATAGTAATGACTTGTCACAGCCGTCTAGACAAATACACACAAACTAGTCCTGGTTTTCCCCAGAAAGTTTTGGAACAGAGGTGTATTGTTCGCTCTGTTTCTGCAGCACGGCCATGAATTCTCCACTGGGTGTTTATTATCTTTTAGTTGCATGACACTGGAAGGCTGCAAGATGATAAAATATGAATAAAATGTGATAGGCAGCCAGCCAATTAGGTGACGTCATGCCCACACAAACACTCACTCACATTAAGGAGATTGTTTTTGTGTTCCTTAAACAGTTTTGCATAATTCCCAAGAAGCGTAGCTTTATTTGACAGCACGTGATAACACTATTAAAACAAAACCCATGCTTCTTTCATTGGTTGTGCTGTTTCCCACTAACATACCTCTGTCTCAGAAGTCATTCTAGTCGTGTAACTTGACACAATGGGCTAAGAGAGATGTAAATAATGTTTTCACTCTCGGCTGGTGGGGAAAGATACCAGAGATACCAAGGAATCAAAGAGAAATTAAATCCTTTCAGATGATGCTGAAATCCAGAGGCATAGCTGGGCATGCCTGAATGCCACTGCATGAGAAGCCAACCACAGGTGTACCTGAATATGCATGAGCGCCTATGCATTTTTTTATACACTTGATAGGTGTTTGCATATATATATATATCAATATACTTGTCTTCTTCAAAGACAAATAACACAGTATGATAAAAACCTGTAGGATATGGTTTTATTTCTGACTTTCAAGAGCTACTGCTCTGCTGTGCGCATTAAAATAACCATTGATCTTTAAAAAAAAAATCTATCAAGGCAATAGAAACTGAGATGACATGTAAGTAAATGGAAAACGGCTTGTTTTATAAGCACGAGTATCGGTCATGTTTCATCCATCTTGAGAGGGTTGGCTCATGCACAGACAAGCTTCTGTCATTTTGGGAATTTGCCTTAATATATCAAGTGATATAAATGTGAATGCATTGCACAGACTGCGATCTAATGCATAAGGACAGGGTTACAGGGGAATGTAATCCCCTACACCGCATGACTCTAGCACGCAGACACAAGCTGATTCAGGAAGAGCAGGTTTCTAGCCAACATCCTTCCTAAACACAAACACCCTTCAACAGCCAGAAACTTTTTTGTTCCAGTAAGAAGTTATGGGTGAACAGCAAAATTTGAAATCGAGTCAAGTAAAGAAAACAAAAAACAAAAGAAAAGAAAAAGGTTCCCAAGCAGACGCCGGCATTGTTTTGCTGTTTGTGATTCCCATGTTAGGCATTTTATCTTAACTAGAGTAGCTTGCAGCAGTTGCAACAGCAGATAATCTCTGATAATCCCATGTAGCACACTAAAAATTACAAGCAACCAGTAGCAAGGAGTGTGAGGGTTAGGCCAATAGTCAACCCATGATATGCATTTGACTACAAAACAAGCATGAAAGAAATTAAATGAGAGCAAAGTGGAATCTCCTGCCTAAGCAAATATGGCTTATGGTGGAGCTTTCCTGCTTTATATCCTTTTTATAGTGAGGATAAGGATTAATGTGCTTAATTCACTGTCCTCTCAGGGTGGGTTATAGCCAGTATAAACAGATGTAACCCTGATGGATCAAAATGTGGGGCAGCTTGTCATGTAGAAAAACACTAATCGACTGCCATCAAGCAACCGTTGTGTTTGAAGGGGCCATATTCAAGACGGCATTCCCTCATTGTAATAATAATAATAATAATAATAATAATAATAATAATAATAATGTGTGGCTTGCAGTTGCTTAAACAGTCTTTTCCACTTAAAGCAATAAGAGTTAACATCTAACGGCTCTTATTAAGTTCTGATATTTGAAGTCTTAATTTGGAAATACTCAGAATGTCTCATGGGAGAGGAGCGAGAGGGCGAGCGCTCCAAATCCTTTGATACTTAAAAAAAGTCATGTCCTACTGTCAGGTCTTATATCATCTGGAAGTACAGATGCCTCAGTCTGTCTTGTTCACCCTCCCATGGCCCTCTCTTTCTCACTGCAGGGGGACATTCCTCAATCCTCAGCCTCTGGCATGCAGTAAATCTGCCTGAGAGAGACCTACTCTCTCAAGCCTGCCAAAAACAATCTGCTAGGAAAGACGTGCGGCTATTTATCAAAACCCAACCTCATGTTTGCCTTTTGTTCTCCTGACAAGCGCACAGAGCCATCAGGAATAAAATATCTTGTGTAAAATAGAAGTCTTTCTTGTCTGCCAGAGGAGAACTACCTCAAGGTCGAGCTGTGGTGACGGAGCCACTGTGAAAAAGGTGTTAATTGGGACAGGAGGAGCCTCACACAGGCTGCGCCGTCCTTTATTTAAAACCGACTTTTGAGTGCATAGATCTTACAGGTGGAAAGTAGCCGTAGCTGGCAGCGTTCCTAAAATTTGTCTTTGCACACCTGGATCTTGGGATGAAGGATTCCTTAGACTGACCTGTGCAGTAGTGCAGAACATCAGGGGTCACCTGCATGAATCTGTGTTGGACTCTTTTTGATTTTTCCTGGCTGTTTAAAGGCCGTGCAGAGAACACTACATGAGAAAAGGAATCAGGGCCTGCAGGTAACGGACAGTGTAAAGTCTGTGAAATAATTTGTGAACTTTTGTAGGACATGGGCATGAACCATGCCACACCCAGCATTTACCTCCTAAGCTAGTGTGCACATGTAACGTGTACAGTATATTCATGAATTAGGAAACACAAAAGCCAAATACAGTAAAAACAAAGAAAAGCAACACAGAACAGTGCAACTACTATGTACTGAAGTGCCATAAAACAAGAGGCAGCAGATTATTCATGACAGTTTGAGTTTAAAATGATCCAAAACTGAGTTCTGGGTTCATTTGTGTAAGTAAGGAATTCCACATGTCGACGCTCCAAACAGAAATTACGATTTCCACAATGGCACCCATAGATGCTGCACATGTTACTGAGATTTATACAAAAAGCTTTAAGAGGAAGCTCACTGCACACCCGGGGAGCCAAATTGTGCAAACATTTATATTAAACTTTTATGCTACTGAATATAATAAAATGACCAAAACTAAACACTGTCGTTGTGTGACCTTACTGACTTATTGTCCATAATTCTAATTGCCCATCTTTATAAGGGGCCCGATTTTTGCAGATGCTGCTTCCGACCAAGAAATAAAACAATAACTGAGAAGAAATGCAGTTAGCACCATTGTCTCACAGCAAGAAGCTTGGGGGCTAGTTCAAAGACATCCACATTTCAGCAATATTTGGCTCTAAATTGGCAACAGGTGTGAATGCCAGAGTGGATGGCTGCCTCTCTGTGTTAACTCTATGAAAGCCTGGCGACCTGTCCAGGGTGTACTCCGCCTCTCACCCTATAACAGCTGGGATCCAACTTAACCACAACCCTAAATTGGATGGATGGATGGAGAAATCATATTATCATCTAGTTTGCCTTTGCAACCTTACTCACCTTGTTTCTCAAATCTTAAGATGGGAATCTAAAAGAATAAATGGATATTAAACCTCTGAATTCTGTTCCATCCATTGTCCATTAATCTTTAGATCTGACTTAGTTTGAGAACTGAGCTCTGGAAGAAAAACAAACTGACACCATTTTCTTATTGTTGAGCATGTTTTCAAACCATGCGCTGCCATGGACTGTAAATGATGGAGACATCCTAAATGCATTTTACTGGACTCCATTGTCCCAGTGCGCTGTGACTGTGGAGTCGATCTCTGCAGGACAAAGCCTTCAATATCACATTCACATAAATGCAACTCAGAGCTGCCACTTAACCCAGCCTGCATCATGTGTTTGGACTCTGGGAAGAAATCAGAGGACTCATGGCAAAAACCAACACAGGCAAGGGGACAAGCTGAAATTCAACACACTGAAAGGACCTCACTGGCTATTGTTTAAAATATATTCAAGAACATCACTTATCCACACTTTGAACCAAACCACATCTCATATAAGCTGCTCTCCGTTTCATGACCGAGACAAATCTCAGTGACTTACTGTGGAATCTTTTTGAATCCACACCCAAACCATGAGCAACAAGTTGCATGTGAAAAGATTTTTACAGTTTATACCCCGCAATGGCACAGCATGTCTGGCAGTCATGAAGGGCACAACCACCAAAAAGCTCTGCTGTCTTGTTCCACTGCCAAGCCATAATTACAGCAATAAGGTTGGAGAGGCTCGTTAACCTTAATCTAGGAATTATACTGTGGCACCAGGGAAAGGAGGACGTGTTGTGTTGTGTGCTTGTACATAGGACCTGGAATTAGACATTTACCACAGAGGGGGGCTGGTGCTGCTTTGAACTACACCGAGTGAGAGTTGTGGTTCATGCAGTTCACAGAGTGCCGTATAGATCCTGCTTGAAACTCTTACCTACTGTGCACTGTTTGAAATGGAGGGAAAGTCCTTTTGTTAGTCTCTACCGCCATCGTGTGGTTTAAATGTAGCATTGCTCACTTATCTTATATACAATGTTTTGTTCATTAAGCCCCACTGACCTATGAATATCTCAAGGATAAAAATGGCAGCTAGCTGAAGGGAAGAACAAGTGTTGTTTCTACACATAATAGACAACTTAGCAAAAAACAATTTTAGCAGTCAGTCGCAAAGACATGAATTGTTACCATTTCTTTTGTTGAATATATGCACCAACAAGGTGATTCCCACAGAGATGTTAGCTGAAAACTTTCGAAGAAGTCGAAGTCGAAGAAGTAGAAGACCACACTTTAGTTGATCATCATAAAAAACATTAGCTATTTTGCAAAGGTTAACTGACTATCATTTGACCATTTATTACTTGTAGTTGTTCTAAAGCTAAGGATTAAAGGCATGGATGGAGAGGTTGGTGTGGAAAATTGAGAAGTTTATCTTTTGTGCTTTCCAACTTTTAACATGATTCTGACATGATTCAGCACAATTATCAGTTTGCATGACAATTTGAATATTCTAAAGAAGTACACACAAGGAAAACTAACTTTGGCTCCTCCCTCCGACAAAAAGAGACAGCACCGCTGCTTTAATGATAAATCAGACAGGTCAACCCAAAGAGATAGTGACCACTTCAGCAACAAAAACAATTATAAGGCAGGCCAAACAAACTAATGGAGGCCGCCGTCCTTAAGAGAACCACTACTCAAAAAGAGCCACGCACAGTGGAGCTGGTCACGCGCAGCAGCAGCAGCAGCAGCAGCAGCAGCCTCTCCCACACCACCACCACACTGCTCTTCTCCAGCTTATCACCTCTGAGGGTAATTGGTGGTAACGAGGGCAGATGAGCAGCAGGTGTGTCCTAAAGGAGAAGGCAGGGGCAGAGAGAGACAAGGGGAGGGGCAAGAAAGAAGGAGGAGGAGAGGGAGAAGACAACACCACGCCCACACACTCCCACAGCCTCACAGGATGTAACAGAAGCAGTTCCCTCTTGTATTACATGACATCGAGAGGCTATTACAACAGGCCAATTTACTGCTAATTCTATGAATCGCCAAAAAGTTAGTAAAATGTTGCAGCAAAGTAGACGTTTCTCTTCATGTTATTCTCAGGTGCATGAAATTGTGTAGGCGAATGTTCCGCATCATACAGGTCTTTCCTAAGACCAAAATTTGCTTCCTTAGAACTGTTTGTGGTACAATTGCTGATCTAATCAAAGACATTCATTGCCTGCTCAAGATTGCAAATATGTTGCAAACCTCTTGCAAACTGCAGCAGGCTATTTGGTCATCGCTTGTTCAGAAGAGACCATAAAACAGGTTCAAACGTGTCTTAGCTGTCACAGTCAGGTCAGCACTGAAATATATAAACAGATCTGTGTAAGACAGACACATGTTTCTACAAACCCTGAAGGACATGAAAGAAAAATATATGGCACAACAATATTTGCACCAACATTCGGTAGCAGGTTGTTTAAAGCAGGTTATAGTCTAAGAACCACATGTCGCTTAAACCACTTGCATACTTTTGTAGTTCAATTGTTTGAATGAATTCAGGTCCAGTGATAAAGATCAGTATCAGTACCTACACAACTTTGGTTTCAACTTTTCAACTTATCTTTCGCAACAATTTTATCTTCAGTAGGAACCTTAACAGTCACAAAGCCCACCGCAGTCAGTCTCTCTTGGTCTGTAACTGACTGTGACTTCTTTTTTGTATTTGCTTCTGAGAATTAGATTAGAAAATTGGTAATAGGAAGGCTATGGCAGACACCAGAGTCCTAGTACGCCTTTTATACAGAAAAACACTAAACACTAAAAAATACTACAAAAATACAACGAGATCGAAAGATCAGTGATGGACATTTTAGATCAACTGTTAAACTGACACGCAGTTGTTCGCACTAATGGAAAACACCACCATCATCTCATGCGGCTACCACATCTAAGCTGCAAGGCTGGAGCTGAACAACAACAAATTCTCTCCCTGATAACAGGACTGTGTTTATCTCCCATCTCCAACACCTGCTCCAGCTCAGCGCCCTCCGATGGCAGCAGATGCTGATAGCTGTGTCTACATAGGCCTACTTCTCGCCCCTTACCCACCCCTGTTGCTTGTCATGTGCTTCATGGTGTTGTAATGTGATCCAGCAGGAGTAGAGGTCTCTTTTTTTCCCTCCTCCACTTGCCCATTGTACTGTACTTTCTGTGTTTTTCCATAATACTACCAGTATTTCACCGGAGGGTAACCTTTGTGTGACAAATAAAGGTTTTCTGAACATACTAAGAACTAAAACTAAACTGAAACAACAAAATCCACTCTGGATACTAACAGAAACTAAACTGAATTAAAAACAAAAAGTCAAAATGAAATAAAAATAAAAAATAATTAGAAAATACAAAATTAAACAGTGGTGAGCTATGATAGTTTGAATTACCAAAAAAAAGTTAGTGCTGGTTCTAGCAGAAAAGTGTCAGATTGTTGTGTATCAGCTGATTGCTCATGCATCAGAGCTGGACCACAAAGCAATGGAAGAAGGTGGCCTGGTCTGAGGAGCCCATGTGGATGTTACTTTGACATGCACCACCTACCAAACATTGTTGCAGACCATGTACACCTTTCACAGAAGACAGTTTTATTTATTACTTTTATTTATCTTACCTACCTTCAATGGAAGGACAACAACAAGGGCAGGGATAGCTCAGTAGGTAGAGTGGTGGCCCCATGATCGGAAGGTCGGGGGTTAGATTCCCCTGAAAAGCTACCCTGAGGTACCCCTGAGCAAGGTACCGTCCCTACACACTGCTCCCCGGGCGCCCAATGGCTGCCCACTGCTTCACTGAGTGAATGGGTTAAATGCAGAGAGTGATTTTCCCCAAGGGGACCAATAAAGTACACTTTCTTTCTTTCTAAAAGTTATTCTCAAAGGCTTTTCCCTCCATTGTACACTACCTTTGTCATCTGCATCAAAACTCTGCTCATCTGTCATAGGACACTGTATTGATGGTAATGTATTTTGTTTCCCACAGACAAAGATGACACAATCAGTTACTATGACAACAATGAGTAGTGAAAACCAAGTAACTGTTGCACTCCTTCTGTACGTTTATGCTTATGCATATGATGCCGAAAGGATGGCACAGCGACACAAGGCCTGCACCTACTCTGGTTCCCGTTTTATTTTAGGGTGATTAAAATCATCGGTAGCACATTTTGCTGCATTTTTAGAAAATGAAATTCAACTTAAATCTGTGAATAGTGGCAGTGACTTTTCATACACAGACTAACATTTATAACTCCCCAATTTTATGTCTCATATTAGCATGTGCCAGTCTGTCTCCTTTTCAGGACTAGTTTTCCTAGGTAAGCAGCTAATTTCTTTACTTGGTAACATCATTTTTCGTGGTGGTGTTTTGAAAACAATTCTATGAATCGCCAAAAAGTTAGTAAAATGTTGCAGCAAAGTAGACGTCTCTCTTCATGTTATTCTCAGGTGCATGAAATTGTGTAGGCGAATTTTCCGTGTCTTGGACCTTTCAGGTTTTTCCTATGAAGACTGAAGCGACACCTCCTCCGTCTAGACCTGAGAGAGCACTCCCACTCACACAGTCATACACATAACTGTCCTCTCTGTCAGAGAAGTCGTGCTGCTGCTGAACTGAAGCTGTGAATTCATTCAAAGTGTTATTACATACAGAAGACGATTAAACAACAGAAGGAGCAGTCGGGTAAGCAGTAACTCTGTCATTTGTTTTTTTATATGTCAAATAGAGGTTATTAAGAGATGCAGATAAAACTAAGTCTAATGTAAAGTGTGAAGCTGTATGTAGTGGCTGCAGTGTCTTCCACTCACTAATAATAATTAGAATAATTACTTAGTGTCAGGACTGATATTAGACGAGGACATCTCCCCCCTCCCCCTTCAAAAATATTTTTAAAATAAATAAATAAAATCAACAAAACCTTTATTTCAAATAAAATGACCAAAGCAAGTAACAAAACATGTTACTCAGTAGGTTAGTAGAGTGAAATGTTGGCAATTTATGGTTTAAGCACTTCCTTTATCAATTTATTAGTATGATATTTGTATAAAATGAATATTTTGGGGAAGGTAATGTCTTTCTCATAATGTTAAACTGAATTTGAACTCCAAATTATTATTATTAATTATAGCATAACAGGATTATTACATTTTGACTAACTTGTAATAAAGCGATTAGATTTGATATTATCAGTAGTTGAAATCAAAATTGTAAAATCGCTAACTTGGTTTCTTAGAACTGTTTGTGGTGTAGCTGCTGATCTAATTAAAACCATTCATTGCGTGCTCAAAACTGGAAAAATGTTGCAAACCTCTTGCAAACTGCAGCAGGCTGTTTGGTCATTGCTCGTTCAAAAAAGTCCATTTGCACCAACATTCGGTAGCAGGTTGTTTATAGCAGGTTATAGTCTAAGAACCACATGCTGGTTAAACCACTTGCATACTTTTGTAGTTCAATCTTTTTGATGAATTTAGGTCATGTGCTAAAGATCACTATCAGTACTTAACCAACTTTAGTTTCAATAACGTCTCTTACGTAACCATTTTGTCTTCAGTGGCAACCTTTACAGTCACAAAGGCCACCCCAGTCAGTCTCTTTTGCTCTGTAACTGACTGTGACTTCTTTTTAATACCCTTATGTTGTATAGTGCTACAGTAAGATGCAGACTCATGTGTCCTCTTATCAGAAGCATTTTCCTCTGAGAATTAGATTAGAGAATAGGTAATAGGAAGGCTTATGCCTTTTATACAGAATATTGAAATGTTTGTTTGAAGACAGCTTCTGTTAACACATTAGAACTACAGTTCTGCGAAACACAGTTGCAAATTGTGATTTATAATCACTTTATTGTATTGCTTGCTTTTACTAAGACCTTTGTAACACCCCTTTCAATCCTTGGAATAGAGATTTGAATGTTTACCTGTGTGCTGGGCCAATAGCTAAGGTTCGACTGCCAGAGCAAAGTGGATGACTAATGAAACGCTCAGAGAACTTGGTTTGATAAACTTGTATTCACAAATGAATAATCACATATATATACAATGAAAAAATAGCATTGTAGAGCGGAAGTTGTATTTACCTCTCCAGCACTTATTGAGCACTTTTAAGGGCATTTCTTATCACTGCTATGCAGATGATATTCAGATATATAACTCCTTTAGCCTCAAGATGTTTCCAAGCTACAGATTTTGCATAAATGCATAGACTCCATTAGAGATTGATTGGCTCTAAACTTTCTTCTACTAAATGAGTTGAAGACTGAACTCCTCGTTTGTTTGGGTTATGGAAAACTTGGGTCCACTTGCTACTTTTACCAAAACGTCTATCAGGAACCTTGGTGTAACTTTTGACTCAGCTCTGACGTTGGTCATGTTAAATATCTGGTCCGCTCCTGTTTTTATCACTTGAGAAACATTTCTAAGCTGAGTCCCACTGTATCGCGCTCCGAATTAGAAATTGTCATTCATGCATTTGTTTCATCTTTCATTCATTGTTTATTGTTATTCTTTGTTTACTTGTTTATATAACGCCTCTTTGGAGCATCTGCAAGTTGTTCAGAACGCTGCTGCAAAGCTTCTGACCAAGTCCTCCAAGTACTCCCATGTCACAGCCCTGCTGCACTGAGGGTGTGTTTTTGGACAGCTCTTTTAAAGTCGACAAGTGTCTTCTAGTTGTCAAATCTTGCTTCTGTTGTCAAATCTTGCTTTTATTGCGTCTTATTTGCAAGGCCAGACACTATGACCCGCACAGGGACCTGGAAAAGCTTCTCCACGCCTTCGTGGCATCTAGGTTGGATTACTGCAATTCCCTTTATTTTGGTCTTAACTCTACTTTTCTCCATAGACTGCAAATTGTTCAGAATGTGGCGGCTCATTTCCTTACTGATACCGGGCGGCGTGTCTCTATTACCCCTGTCCTTGCCGACCTGCACTGGCTTCCCGTTAAGTACCGTATTCAATTCAAAATCCTGCTGCTCACCTTTAGAACTATTAACAATTAAGAGCCAAGTTACCTCATTGAACTACTTAGATTATACACCCCTGCTAGAGTACTAAGATCATCTTCCCAGTCACTTTTGGTACAGCCGAGATCCCGGCTGAAGACTAGAGGTGACTGCGTGTTTGCCTTGGCTGCACCCGTGAGTCTGATCCATTCAATCCTTCAAATCGCAGTTAAAAACCTGTTTATTTAGCCTGACCTTTTCTACCAGTTAATGCTTGTTTGTTAAGTTAGTTTAATGTTTGTTGCAATTATCGTTCTATTCTTAACTATTTTAAAATTTTTCTTGACTCCTTTATCTTTTACACATATTGTTCTATTATGCTTTTATATGTATTTCTTTTGTTTCTGTGTTTTTAATGCCATTAACCTGCTAGCATGTTTGGTACTTTGCCATGGCTTTCATCTTTCTCTATTACTTTTGTATGTTAAGCACTATTATACCACTGGTTTTTACAAGGACAAGCACCAACATATATCAGTGAATTTTTACATCCATACATTCCCAGCAGGTCCCTGAGGTCATCTGATCAAGGGCTTGCTAGTTGTCCAACACACGAGGCTGAAAACAAAAGGTGACAGAGCTTTGTAACTGTGGCCCCTAGACTGTAGAACTCTCTCCCTTTGAGCCTGAGATCTGTGGACTCAGTGGTCACTTTTAAAAAACAGCTAAAAACTGATCTTTTTAAACTTGCTTTTGGTTGATTTTTATCTTTGTTTCAGCTTCTGTGAAGCACTTTGTGATTTTTATCTTAAAATTTGCTATATAAATAAAATTTAACTTTACTTTTACTTACATGAAAGAAAAATGGGGCTCAATCATGAAAAATAATAAACAAAACACGCCCTGCGGAAATTTGACTCAGTCTCTCTCGTGTCAGCCCACACCCTTAAGTGTGAGTCCAATAAGGGTTCTCTTTGCAGGATGTGCAAAGGAGCAATGAGGTGCAATGCTGTTCTACCACTTAAGTAGAATTTGAACAGTTCAAGGCTCGTCCAAAGAATTTAACTTTCTTCTCAGAACGATCATATCAAGGACTCCTGGACGGAGCGCTCGCCATCTTTGGACTGGATCATCAATGAACCCTGACCCTGACAACACCCTGACCTGTATAATACAGTCAGAGTAACATTCAAAAATATACATTTAGTCATTCATACATGTATTCTTTCCCTTTCTTTCTTTTCCCTCCATTGTACACTACCTTTGTCATCTGCAACAAAACGGAGTAAAACTCTGTCATAGGACATTGTACTGATGATAATACATTTTGTCTCCCACAGACAAAGATGACTCAATCAGTTACTATGACAACAATGAGTAGTATGGTGTCCACAACCATTAATCCGTTCCTGGACTCTCAGTTTCGTTATGTGCTCATCCCGGTTTCCTACATCGTCTTCTTCATCCTGGGCTTCATCTCTAACCTCTACGTGCTGTTTGTCCTGCGCTGCATCCATCAAGCCAAGGCCATGGGAGAAATTCACATCTATATGACCAACTTGACCATCGCTGATCTTCTGTTTGTGTGTGCTCTTCCCTTTTGGATTGACTATTATATCCGTGAGGGAGACTGGGTTTATGGAGACGTCATGTGCCGGGTGACAGGCACCTTCTTTTTCATCAACACTTACGGCACCATCCTCTTCCTTTCAGCCATCAGCATCAACAGATACTGGGCGGTGACTCGGCCTCTAGACGCAGCCTCGTCAAACCGCAGAATTCGTGGAATCATTGTTTGTATTTGTATCTGGGTGTTTGTTCTGACGATTTCTGTTCCTTTTCTGGTGAGTCCAGGGATCAACGTGCACCATAAAAACAACACTGACATACGTCGCTGCTTTGAGGGATACCAGGGTGGAACTAATGACAAGAAGAAAAAAGTGGCTGTCACTCATTTTCTAATAATTGGATTGTTTTTTGTTGTCTTTTTACTCATTGTGATATGCAATGTCCTTATTGCTCAAAGTTTAATTTCTAAAAATTCTCCTCAGTCGGAAAGTCAGTCTTCAGGAACACAGTCTAAAAAGCTCACTGTGACATCCATATTTAAATGGCCCACAGGGGTGAAACGGAGGGCTCTCCAGATGTTGCTGGCAGTGGTGGGAGTGTTTGTTCTGTGTTTCCTGCCACACCACATAGTTCAAGGCCCCTGGGCTCTGGCAGTGCTGGAGATCGAAGACGGCTTCGGCCACGTGAAGTACAGCGAGACCACTCGTCAGTTGCTGAACGACGCTCATCAGATCACCCTGGTTCTTATGGGCCTCAACTGCATTTTGGATCCTGTAGTTTATTATTTTGCCACAGGGAAGTTTAGAGGACTCATCAAGGCCCACATTAAAAGATTAATCCCATGCACCCAAACTCGGAGCTACCACTTAAACCAGCCTGCATCACCTGTTTGGACTCTGGGAGGAAATCAGAGGCCTCATAGGAAACCCACAAAGGCTGGGGGGCAGGATCAAACTTATTACACTGAAAGGAGCTCTGTGGTTATTTTATAAAGTATTTTCAAAAATCTAACTTATCCAGCATTTTTAACCAAACCACATCTCAGATAAGATTCTCTCTATTTTATGACTTAGATGAATCTCAGTGACTAACTGTGGAATAATTCTGAATCCTCAATTACATTATTAAAGAGGACATGAAACACTACACATTTGAAGGTTAATTAGCTCAGTGGAGCCCTGTTGTAAAAAAACAAACAAACAAACAAACTGTAATTGAGGTAATATGGATTTAGGAAATAATTGTTTTAGGTTAAAGTTTTTAGAGCAAGTCTATGGTTTGGTTGGTTTCTGCTGATAGACTTACATTAGGTTATGTTAGTTAACTAGTGACAGAACCAACAACTCAGAGGAAAACAAAGAGACTAAAATTAAAAAGCAGTCTAAGGGAATCACATTTGTACTGCCCCTGGCTGCAGCAGTGAGCCTGATGATAATAAACCAAGGAGGTACTGTCTACTTTCACTTTGTCAATTTAGCAGTAAGTCATCTTTTTCTTCAAAATATAAGGAAATGAGGGGTAGCTCAAGACTTCCACAGTGTTGTACCTTTGGCCTATACCTCTAACTGACCTGTACCTATAACTGGTTTTAATATAAATACAAGAGATTTGTGATTTATGACACATCACCTTGTGGAAGTTAATCTCTGTTTTTGTTATCTTGTGACATTATTACAACATTCTCATAGACATGATGGATTGTTTAATGGAAGTTGATTCATGGAAGATAAATTGTTAAACAATATGCAAAACCCAATTTTTATGTACTGAAAACTCTTTATCTGTCTTTATCATTTTTTCCCCTCTCACCTACCTCACATGTTTTTATTCTTATTTCCTCATCTGTGAGGATCTCATTGTTATGGGAACCCACTGGTCAAACCTTTTTTTTTAATGAAAGGACATCTTTTTTCTCACCTTTCCACATTTGCAGGGTTCCCTCTGAAATGTATATGCGTTTTTGTAAATAAAAACATGAAATCAAATTTGATCAGAGTATCTCTGCCTTTATTAATTCCTTGCATTCTGATTGAATGCCAACAATGATAGCACATGATGATAACTGAGGGCCAGTTAAGTAAGTATAGCAATTTTAAATATGATGATGTCAACTGTGGTGGCAGTAGCAATACAAAGATACTCTTCTAAAAATCAGGTGCAGGAGTGTTACAGATGTGCCACTCTGCCACACATGCCTGTGTAGATCTTTGATGTGTTTTATTAGGAGCAATGAAAGGGTTAACCCAATAATGTTCCATCAGAGGACACCAAAATCATTTTAGCTTATATCTCAGAAGTGTATAACATAACAGCTAGCCTTACCAGCATGAACCAACCACATAGTGAACAGATTAATAAACATTGCACTTCTACGTAAGTGGATTCTCTAAATGTATTTCTTTCACATTTTATTCGACAGTGCTCAGTTACATTTATAAAAATGGGTCATCATTTCAGATGAAACATTATAAACTCTCATTCTCGTGAAAAACTACAGATGTTGTTGGACGGGGAGAAACTCAATGTTTGGCAGACACACCTGTTCACGGTAAAGTTTTTACACCATTTCTGATAGTTATATACTGCAACAAGAAAGCCAAGTGACTGTTGCACTCCTTTCGGTTTGTGCTATGTACATGATGCAGAGAGGATGGCACAGTGATACAGGACTTGCATTTACTCTGGTTCCCGTTTTATTTTAGGATAATTAACCCCCAAATTTTATGTCTCATATCAGCATGTCCCAGTCATTCTCCTTTAAGGAACTGTTTTCCTGTGTAAGCAGTTCTTTCTTTACTTCGTAACATCATTTCTTTGTTGTTTTTGGTGTTTCATGTTATTATCAGGTGCATGAAATCGTGGAGGCCAACATTACGTATTTTGGACCATTCGGGGCTTTCCTAACAAAACTGAAGCAACACCTCCTCCGTCTAGACCTGGGAGAACACTCCCACTCACACAGACACGTAAATTCCCTCTCTGTCAGAGAAGTCACTCTGTTACTGAACTGAAGCTGTGAGCTGAGCTCACTAGAACTGACGAAGCTTCTCGAATGAGAAGTGAAATGTCTTCAAGCAACTTGAAGAAGTCCAGACACTTTTCTTTCCAAGCTCCTTAGACTACAGAACGATGGTGGTACAGGGTGAATTTTTACCCATTTACATTTTTATGTTTTGTCAACATTAAATGAAAGAAAAGAAACAAAAACTGTCCCACAAAAGGCCTGTGGACATCATTGACGTGTTATATTAGGAGTGATGAAAATATGCTAATGAAATCAAACAAAACATCAATCGGATCTTTATTCAAACTAACTGATTGGTCAGTTGCAGTGTTGATCATGGAGCAACAGTATTTTGATAATGCAACTAAAACATCAACACGGAGATATCTGATAAATCACGTGAAATATAAATAAATATAAATAAAACGTGAAATAGACACGGTGAACTGGCTTGATTTCACGATTTGACATGATATTAGGTTGGATAAACCCCAGTGATTGAGGCTACATCAGTAACATTGCTATTTATGCATTCTTATTCCCTCAATTTAGGCCCAAATCGATTTGATGTTTGAAGGCACACAGTGTGGGGAAATAAAAACTTCCCTCAGATGTGTTAAACTTAAAGTAATGAGTCTATTTTGAAGATGTAAGGAGTAGAAAATACAGATATTATGTGGTTAAATGTAACGAGTAAATATATAAAAAATTGTCAGAAAAATAAATACTCAGGTACAATATAGATATCTGAAACTTCTACTTAAACACTGTAACAAAGAATTTGGACCTTGATAGTTCCAACTCTGAGCACAATAAAGGGTGTCCGTGGAGAGCTGTACACAGTGCATCTTGAGTGTGCATCACAATACTAAACAGTCTCAATCAATAGTGTGTAACATTCTTTGCTCTTGTACAGCAAAGTAATGCTGTGAATGTGAGAACTATTAGATTCTCTTTTCTAAAGAAATTCATGAAAGAAACAATGCCAAATAAAGAAGAGGGCTGCATATTTGTCAAACACTA